ATGCTTAATTCCTAACTGGCTGAAGTGAATTAAGGTGAAAAACCCACCCAGTGCTGCACAGAGAGGTTTGCCCCATTACAGAAGATGTGGAGCTTATGGAGCATTTACTTGAATTTTCTAACAGGTAACTGTGAATTAACGCTGAGAATTTCAGATTTTGACTGAGTGAAGTGACTTCAAGTGCCTTTTCCAGTATTTTATGAATGGGGAAGACAAAAAGCTGGATGACCAGGCTCAGTACACGAATATAATTATATAAGTAATCATGCAACCTTCCTGCAGGTCCCTGCTGTGCCACAGCATCCTTCAATGACCTTTTCTAATCCTCAAATGGGGTTTCTAAGAACTGAAGTCCCTTAAATTATCACATCTTCATGTCTAAGGTAGAAATAGCTGTTCTTTACTATATTGGAGGCTCATTTCTCAAACAGTCCTGTTCTTTGAGGAAGAGAGGAGGAAAAAGAGGAAGAGGAGTAGTGAGTAGGGCCTTCACCCCAGGCCCTGTGTGTATGAGAGGAAAGGTGAAGCACACAGGTAGCAGAATTTATTTAGGAAGAGGGTGATGAGCAAGTATTTTAGGAAATGCTGTGGTAAATATTTACTTGTGTTTGAGACATTTGCTTCAGCCCCTCACTAGACATATACTGGAATATCTACTGCTAACAAACACATTCTGCCACCCCCTCAGTGATGACTACAACTTCCTCCAGCAGCATTATTCTGTTCTTAGCAGCTGTGTCAGTATTTTGTATTCAAACAGAAGTGGTCAAAACCTTTCCAATACATAATGCAGATTCATCAAAAACACAGCTTTGCTGGGGGAGGAGATCAGTTTTGTTAAGTTTGTGTAGAGAAGCACTTGACACCAGCACACAGACAGAAGTTACTGCAGACAGGGAAACAGCGTCACTGCAGCGCACAGTTTCACTGCCAGCCCTGTGTGCTGTAGCCCAGCACTGATCAGACCGGTGTGGGCACAAGGAATTCCATTGAGCCAAGGCTGCCTATCCCTGGGTAAGCCCCAGTTACCAGATACACCTGCCAGCACTTCCTTCAGGGTAGCAGTGCATGGAACAAGGGTGTACCACCACATCCCAGCCTCGGGGCAGCAGCTGGCGCCAGGCCCTGTCCCACCCACCCCGACGGCATCACGCTGGCACACATCCAGTCTCACTGGGGAATGGAACCAGCTGGGAACCCCCACCCCTGGTAGGCAGTGGTCACTCCTGCTTTCCTAAGGTGTGTATTATGAAAGGTCTCGCCACACGTTTCTGTTGTTTTACTCAGAAGAATCGAACAAAAGACTATAAACATGAAATGATGGGGGTTTTTTTGACTCAACATCTGGTCAGAAACCTTATCTGGCTCTCTGGGGACACTACTGCATGGAATGATAGCACTGGAAAGGGACACCACTCTCCTCCATTAGCTCAAGTTCATGACAAAGTAGTTGAACAGATTGCAGCTGAAATGGCACGCTGCTTAGAACAAGACATTTTTGGCTTAATAGAACAAAGTGTCATTTTTTTCCAATTTACTTCCTTCCTGCTCATTATTTCCAGCTAACCATACACATTAAAGCCAACTTGCAATTTCAGAGTAATTGACAAAGCCTGTAATTTTGAGAAAAAGCATCTCTGGACAGAGGGTGATTCTAAAGATCTAATGTGTCAGCATTGGCTTTTATTCTATATTATCTGACCTGGATGTAATAGTGTTACACTCATAGAAACATTTATTTATTTAATTTTTTAATTTGTGTTGCATGTGTTCAAAGAAAAAACACCCTTACTGGCTTAGGTGGTTAAATGTGGGTGCATGGATGTAAATATGTGCTTGAATCCCTACCATGGGACATTGCAGAAGAAATTAGGGATGTATTTCACTGTGGTGAGATGGACTGCAACAACCTTGTGTTTGTGTATCTTGCAGGTTAAATACTTAATAAAGTATTGTTCTGTTTTAGGTTACCACAGAAAAAAGGTATTTATTAAAAACTGAAAATTTGGTCAAGCAGAAACTGTGTCTGGGGTTTAAATAAAAAGCAATGTTCTGCTTTCCAGAAAGGAGTCTGAAAAGAAAAAAAAATCCATGGGTAGGATCATTTGAAGGTTCTCCAAAGTTACTGAAGCTAAAAGCCAGCACTGCCTTGTCATCTAGTATCCACCTGTAGAGTTCTGTTGCAATGCTTGGTAACTATGTAAACTGCTGCTTTATGATCTGAACACTTTCCATGGGCTTTCCTTGTAAAACAAAGCGTCTATTTGCCCCAGAGAGACAGGAGTCATTGGCCACCATCCAATGATGTAGAAAGTTTACAGAAAGTTTACAGCCTGATTTTACAGAAATGATTTTTTTGTTCCATATAAGCTTACCTGGTTTAATAGACCATTAATAAAATGCCATATTTAAAACAGCTTGAGTGGGACTTTTTTCCTTTCTTTTCAGTAAAAATGAAGAAAGTTTGATGCTTGTAGATTGAATTGACTGTATGTGGGGGGAAAAAAAACAAAGCAGAGAATATTTCACAGAGGTACCTTGAAGGCTAATTTGTGTTCTTAGGAAATCACTGTCACCAGATAACACATTTGTAAGCTGGAGCATTTCTTCAAGTGCATTTCCACCTTTAAAAGAAATCAATGCCCTGGTGACTAAATAAACTGTGATTAATAAAATGGTCCACAGAATACCAATCATAGTTTCTTAAGCAAATGCATATTATGACAAGCTTGTTACATTTTAGAATATTTCAGCTTGTCCTGTGCACTGGTACCACACAGCCATCATCTCCTCCAGCTGCTTCACATTTGACACAGGTTTCTTCCAGCAGCCACTCCTGTGCCTGAAAATGTGCACTTGCACATTCCCTGTGGCTGTTCTGGTACCTGTGAGGAGCCTGCTCTTCCATACAGCCCCTCTGCACCAGCACTGCCTCAGCACACAATCCTTCACTTGCAAGTCCAAAGGCAGTGAAGAAGAAATAAGCTCTTATGACATTTAAGAACAAACAGCATTTGGAAACAGTGCAGAGCAGGAAGAAATTAAGGTATAAAACATCAAATGAAGAGGGCTGGGAGTCAGCTCATCCACCCTCACATGGCTACAGAGCCTGGCTGATAAGATTCCATTCCCTTTAACAATGGACAGAAATGGGCCTTTAAAGGATACAATTTACCTGACCTCATCTTAGACCCAGGGCTTCAGCTTTCTACAGAAATTGGTGCTTGGTGTTAAGCACCTAAAATGGCCATCACATTTTGTGCCCAGCTTCTGCTGTGATTCCAAATTTTCTTTTTTCCTGGAACAGTTTCAACATTCCAGGCCATTTTTAGTACAGCATTTTAAGAAAAGTGCTGTCCAACACAGTAAGATCTCCATATCTAATAAAAAGCCATTAGTTTTAATATGTATTTATTTGGATAGGTACCATAAGAAATCACCTAATATAAGAAAATCACTGACTGTAAATCCTTTAAATCTATTTTATTTATCTTGAAAGGTGAGAAACTGATTAGTTGTATAAAATAATATTGTACATTTGATGTAAAGCCTTCAGTCTGTTTGAACAAAAAAAAAATACATTGTCACAGTAAAGAAAGAATCTATTTAGATACTGGACTCTGTATCCTCCTTCTAGCCAAAGGACTGCTGTAACAGATCTTACAGTCAGTGCACCCCAATGTTAACATAGATCCTGTCTGTAAAACTCCAAAAAGTGAGAAAATAAACATAAGGTACTCTGGAAAGTTCTGTAAAATTTTCAGTAAGGAAGTTGAAGCCATACTGAGTCTAAAACACCCCTCAATATTATTTTTAATTTAATTTACAGTTTTTGCTGCTAATAGAATTTTTAGTAGTTCTAGGGTTAGCTTTGAACCAACACAAGACTGGATCTTTAGAAAATTTCCTACTCTAAATACTCTAGGATCAGCTGAACAATCTGTAAATAAGCTCCCGGGAAGACATTGGTTTAAAATGTTTGTGTAATTAATAGCATGCTTTTTTACTGTACCTGTTCTTAATTTAAGAAGCTGCAAAAGCTAAAATTCATAAAATCAGTAATTTTAAAGCTGGACAATTGATTTGCTTATATTTTAATCCACTGGAAATAAAACATGTGTTTTTGTTAATTAGCTACTTTAACAAAACTTTCTTGTTGCAAGAAAAGTTCCAGAATCTGAATCAGTAACTTACAAATACAAAATATGAAAAAAGTATTAGATGGTTTTGTTTGGGTTTTTTTGCTAGTTGCAACCATTCACAAGTTGCCCAATTAACTGCCTTTTCAGTAAAGGCAGATGGATTTTCCCAATGTGGGTTCACCACATTCAGGTTTTTGCAGATGCTGCAGTAAGGCAAATGGGGGATGCCCTGTGCTTTTAGAGACCAGGCTGCTCTTACCTGGAACCCAGCTGGAGATACTCAGCTTCCAGCTGTTTCTCAAGCTGTCTGGCTTGGCTACAATCAGGTGAAAATTTGAAGAAATCAAGAAAATTCTGCACCATTAGAATTTTGAAATCTTGTGCGTACCAGGTATGGTTTAGGTTTCTTGGGTTTTTTGGTGGTTTTTGTTGTTTTTGTTGGGTTTTTTGTTTGTTTTTTCTTTTAATACTTGAGATTTCCCAAGATGAGAACGGGCACATCAATTACTCTGCATATGGGAAGAAGCTTCAGCTTCTGGGAAGATTCAGTGTGGGATTCTGGGATGAGTCTCTACGGGATTCATACTCCATGAAATTCAAACTGAGGGACAGTGTAACTGCCTTCAAAAATGACACTGGGGAGGGAGCTGGGGAAGCAGAACTACAAAATGCCAAGTGTTGATTTCAGTAGTAAGGCTATGAAATGAGTTCACTTTGAATTCAGGTTGTAGTCCTGAGGTGAGGCCCCTTCTCTGCAAGGCCCCCAGCTGCTGTCCCATTTAATTTAATGGGAATTTGATGTGCTAATTATGAACACAGATGGAAATCTTTGCAGTAATTGGCCGACCATTTTCAAAATTTGCAAGTAATGAAAATCTAATAATCAAATCTAAGAAACAAAATTAGTGCATTTCAAATCATTCTAGCTAACATTTCATCTTTAGACATAAAAAATTCAATCCAACAAGACTGAACTGGCTTAAATCAGTAATGCTGCAACAGGAAATTTAGACACTTTCCAAGACTTTTTAAAAATCCTCAAAAAATATATAAATTAAATTCAGTGGCTTACATTGTATATATGCTACATCATAAGGCAAAGTATCATGGAAAACATTTAACAATTTAAAAAGTACAAATGCTTTCAACTAGCAGTTTGGAATAAAAAGCAACTAAAAAAGCAACTCTATTAATGAAGGCTGTAAAACAAAAACAATCTTAAGAGGGCCAGCAGTGCAGCCCCTGGTCCTGAGAAGAATCTCACTTTTCTTCACTGGCTGAGGTATCATTTCCATCATTCAGCTTCTGCTTTTGCATTCTTGTTCGAGTAGATGCTACAAAAAAAACCCAACAAAGAAAAAGAGTTAAATATTTTCTTCATAATTACTTTGGACTGATTATTGGAAAAATTTGTAAAGATACAAGGAATAGAAGTACATTGTTCTATTGTAAGCAAACTGAATCCCTCATTATAGGATGAACACCTAATTTTGTGCTGTTTCAGCCATTCTTGCTCAATCTTACAGATCTTATGAAATTCCTTCCACCTGTTCACTCCAGTTCTCATTGTCTCTGTCCCCTCATTGTCCATTTCCATCCTCCAGGTGGGCAGATGGTCTGTGTCACATCAGCAATCTCGCCTTGCAGCCAGGCAGAAGCTGTGGGCTGAGCAGTGCCCACATCCCAGAGACAGCCTGCCCAGGAGTGCCTTTTCCCCTCAGTGGCACACACCAACACCACTAGACACGAGACAGAGCTCTCTTTCTTAACCCCTGCCATAAGTCAACACTGAAACATTTTCCATACCTTAAAATAGAGGTGCCTGGATCCACACTCCTATATAGCTATCTTGATGAATAATCTAAGACTTTTTAATTGGCAAATCTGCTCAGCTGCAGAGCTCAGGCTCTCAGAGTGAGAATGCCCGGCCAGGCCAAGTGTGCTCCTTCTCACAAGTGGAAAATACAACTCAGATGTGGGGTTGGGGCCGTTTTGCTTTTCATGAGCTAGATTTCAATTTCTTTTCAAAACAGAAAAGTGATGCCATAAGATCTGAAAGAAATGCTGACCCACAGTAGAAAAAAAAGCAGTCTCAGACATTTCCCTATAAAAGCAAAGCAACAAAAAACCTACATACGGTTTTCCTGTGTACATAAATTTCCATTTTGTAATCTGCATTTTCAAGATTATATGCAGGAAGTACAAAAGCTAAGCAAATGAACCAAATCACATCAGTGTTGAACAATGTTTTCATCTGAGTGGGCCCAAGCTCTCTTATCCAAGGCACTCCAGATTATGAGAAAAGTAATACTCACTCATTTCTGCAAGCTTTTGTTGGAACTTGGACTCCTGGGGTAGGTGTTTGCTACAGAAAGAAAGCATAAGGTTATGTTAATAAAAACACCTTTTTACCTTCATAACCTAAACTGTAAATCCACGGAGTAGCTTTTTGACATCAAAGCGTGTAACTGAGGAGCTTCATGCTTCCATCTCTCATTTGTTACCGCTGCTAAAGCTCACAAATTACCACAAGACAGGATATCAGGAAGAAGTCAAGATGAAGGCCCTGAGAACCCAATACATGCAAGATCTCTGAAAAGCCCAGGGCAATCTCTCACCTTCCATCTGCCTCATCTGTCCCCTCTATATCGAAGCGCAGCCTCTTCAGTGGCTTCGGGGCAGCAGCTCCTACTTCTGCACTGCGCTTCAGCTGGCACTCACTGTTGCACAACATCTGGTTTATTTTTTGAAACTTTTCAGAAGTCTGAAGTGACAAGAAAATAGGGAAAGTATTGCCAATAATTCCTGAAAACACACCAACTTTCCAGATTATTGACAAAAAATTAGGAGTTCTAAAACTCTGGAGTTTTAAGGACCATTATCTTGTGCCAAAGCAACTAAAATAAAATGCAACATATTTTGAAGGTGAAGTCTGGATATTTGAAAGGAGTTAACAGAACTTCCCTATAATTACTATATTAAATCAGGTGCACTCATTGGCCTGCTCTAGAGATGTGAGCAGGCTATCCCATTCCTCCAAAAGTCACGTGCATTTAAGACCAGACATCAAAGATGTTAAAACTCACCCCAAATGATTCTCCAATGGACACCAAAATTCTGCCAAATGAAGAAGAGAAGTTTAAGCTCCATTTAACAATGACAGAAGCATTGACTAATTTGCACAGGTTAGCACAAGGCATTAACAAGGTCTCTTCCTCTCTCTCTCGACGTTAACAGTGCAAATCCATACTGTGCTTTACTGTGTTGAGACATTTCTCTCTGAGCCACTGAATGCTCAATCACCAAAAGAACTGAATCACACAGATAGAAATGAATTTGTGGCTTGAAAGAATCAGAGGCCCCCATAGTCTGTCCTGTATCAGCAAGAAGAGCCTTCAGTGCTGGGTGTCCAGACAATCATCCTCTCATCTCTACCTTTAGGTGTCTCCTAATCAAAATCATGCAGGACTTCAACCTAAAATATACAATAATATTTAAACTTTTGTGCACTGTGGGACTCACTTGATCCTAGTCTGGAAAAGCCACTGGAATTTGGTACATTTACTGTCATCCTCGTCTGCTAAGAACCAGTGACCAACAGTTTGAAATCTTCTATTCAGCCAGCTATACAAACATTTTGTTGCAAAAAAGTATTTTCTCTTTAAAGAAGCTGACAAAGCTCATCTGTGTTTTTCAGGAGCGTGATGCAGGGTCAAAGCCAGCAACATTTATAGCAACCAGGTCAGGAAAGTCCTCTATGTTGGGGAGTAAAAAAAAAAAAAAAAAAAAAAAAAAAGAGGAAAAAACCAACAAAAAACCTCCTTGTGCAGAATAGAAAAGCATTGAATGATGAATAAAGATTCCAAATACAGGAAAAAAACTATTAACCAAAATTATATGATAGCCACAGACAAACTAGACTGCAGTTTTTCAATTTGCTTCCACTAAAATCCCCCACATACCTTAAATTTGGTCAAAAAAATGCTTGTCAACAACATACCTAGACCTTGGAGTCATCTTTGTGGGTGACTGAAACCCATCGGAGAATTTGTATGGGCTCTTCAGAGGTGAGATGTAGATGTTATTGCCAGCAGGGACACGCCGAGGAGAGTTGGAGAACTGGTAAGGACTGCGAGGGATGTGGGGGATTGGTGACAGAGTGGGAGGCTATAAAAATAATAAAATAAATAAAATAATCATAAGCTTTTATTGCCTATATATTTCTAGTCTACTGAATAATGAATAGAGCTAATGGCTTACCCTGCTGGAAGCATACTGCAAAATGTTTGTTTTCAGCTTCTGCATAAACACTAAGTTGTAAAAGACTATGATGGAGTCATATTGTTCTTCTCGGATAAGAACACGTTTGAAAGTCTGCACAGAGTGAGAAAATCATACACAGATTAAAAAAAATAAAAGGAATGAAAATTTTACATTTGACAAACTCATAAAGTCACTCAACATCTGTGTTAGATTAAAAGCTAGGATGGTACATGAGTTGTATGCAAGCCATTGTAACTTCTCTAAACTGCTGGAGATTTTTCCAAATGTGTTTGAACAGCAGTACAAGCACCTACTTCATTAATTGGCACAGCCCTTTGGTGTGAACACAGTTCTAACATTTTCCAAATTTAAGAACTATTTGCTTTCACACACATGTGTCAAAAAGTCTAGACTACTGTGCATGCCTTGGAAGGCTAAAAAACTCATTACTGTCCTGATGGGGACAAAATAGTTCTATAGGCTTGGAGACAAGTCTGGAGTTTAGCCAAGATCCACAAATACACTATGAGAAATTCTGCTTCTGAGAGGATGCTACAGCTCCAGGTGAGGCTTTTTCTATAGATTTCATATACTGTGCTGTGAAAAAATCAATACATTGAAGTTCCTGTGAAGGAAGGAACTTCTTCATGTTGCCTGCAACTTTAATACATACACAGCTGTTTGATATATAGCCATACATCTCTATTTGCTGTCAAACCATGTTTCTGTTGAAAGCTTCTGTAGAAAATAATCTGCTTCTCTTCCCTTCATGCTCCAAGGAACTTAGACAACTCATAAAGAAACTTGTGTTACTTTTGAAAATCTTATTAGCTCTAAACATAAATTTTTCATCTAGGCTCCATATGCAGTCATAAACCATTGTTACATATTTTTCAAAAGATGGAATGAAATTTGTTTTCTGGGGAGAGTTACCAAACTATTTATGCAAGATGTTTAACAGATATTTAGTATTAGAGTCAGTTTTCTCCTCCACAAAATAGAGATGCAGTGAAGCAGAAGTTTTCTTCTGTATGTTCAAGTGGAGCTTATTTTGATTTCAGGGGAAAAGAATTAAGTTTTTAAGATTTTTATGGAGGAATAACATTTAAGAACTTCCATACCTCTTGATTTGTGTTGCAAAGCTCCTTGTATGCTGAAACTATCATTTTAAATCGAAGATCTACATTCTTTACTTTGCATATGCCATACATGGAACACATCATGATCTATTAAAGAAACAAGACAATTGAAAATTAATTCAGCTTCTTCATTTCAAGTTAAGAAATAACTTTCTTTTACTGATTGTGCCCTATAAACTAGCAGACAACTCAAATTAGAAAGAACTTCTAGAACCTAAGTTAACATAATGCTACCTCCATTTCTATGTGACAAGCAACTAATTGGAGCTGATAATAACCTTCTTAAACTCCTACTATGTGCTGCAATTTCAGGGTAGAATAACAAAAAAATTTATCAGCCACACGTGTTGTCTTTGCAAAGAAAATCACTGTATTTTTATGCAAATTATTAGAAACGGTGGTCTGTCTTTGTTTTTTGGTTTTTTTTTTAACAGTTCAAATTGGTATTTGAAGGTGCCATATCAAGTAATTGCCAGTGCTTAAAAAACTGAGATGACAGACTTCAGTCTAAACTAAGTCCTCCTTTCAGTGATCAACAGATTAATAAGAACCTCAGAGTACAGTTTCTAATGGCTAAGAACATACAAAGAACATTTTGTCCAGGAGAGTCTTTTTAACTTTTTAAAACTTTTTTTTTCTTCACGTTACCTGGTCCAGGTGCCTGTCTCTCATTAGCTCATACTCATTTTGCAGTGTGTGCTGGAAGAGGGTCCAGATCAAGGGTTCCAGGTCAGGATGGTCGGAGAGCAGGTGAAGGAATAGGGTATGGAGTCGACGATAGGCCAGTAGATACACTTCAGAAACAAAGTAAAATAAACAGAAATTGTTGTAACAGGAGTATACAAAATGAAAGGAATGCAATGAAGGAGGGACAGCATTGTACTGCTCGCCCTCAAAAAACTACCAGACATCAAGTGAAGGTAGTAGAAACCAGGCTCAAAATAAATGGAAAAGGTTTTCATACAAGAGACAGTGGACAATATGGAAGGCCACACCAAACACCCCTGTATGTCCATGTCAATTCAAACAAGCACCTGGAACATGAATCTGCTGAGAGTTACTAAGCAGACACAGCACAAAAGGTTCAGAAATCCCCCCAAGTGGGATGAAGATCAAGCCTGGGAAAGCACCAGCCAAGTCTGCCCAGTTTTCCAGGTTGACATGACATCTCTTTATGGTCACTGCTGGTAAAAGGATGCTAGGACAGAAGAGCCCTCCATCCGAGGCCATATGGACACTCTTACAGCCAGGATAGGGAAGTCTTCACTTCTAACTCCCAGAGTGCACACAGGAACCACCTGCTGGCATCACTTTGCCCTTTCTTCCAGAGGTTTGCCTGGTGTTCACTACAGATTCTACAACAAACTTTTCAGAAATGCTGAGTGTCAAAATCCAGAAAGGATAAACTACAAGAGATAACTTTGCAATGTCAGCACATGCAGAAGGAACAAACCTTTCTTGTAGAACAGAGAGAGGGAGGTAGATTTCTGCGGTTTCTGTGTTTGGGGGGTCACAGCAGGCTGAACATCTGGAGGGGAAGTAGCACTTAGAGGAGGTCCAGATGCCTTCTTCTTAGGAGATTTCACAGGAGAAAGATAGCTGGAGGTGCAACACATATTAAGCATTTAACATCACAGGATGAAGAAATTTCATTATTCAATTCTATATGAATAATACTTGCAGGAACTCTTCCCTTTTTCCCATTAGAAGAAACAAATGGCTATTGTGACCTGTTATCTCCAATACCTGATACAGTGACTTGTTTATTCCTAGGCAAGTAATGTAACAGTTTACAACTACATATTTTACAGGGCTGGGGAAAAATACTTCAAATATTTGAAATATTTTAAATATTTAACTTTCAATGTATAATAAATACCTGCAAATACAATGGTTGAACAAAACTTAAGTACCAAGCCTAAGAAGTAGGAAAACAGAATACAGCTGGATTTGAGTATTAAGGGCAATATCAATTTCACATTTCCCCAGACGTCAGGCATTCACTTACAGGTCTGCAGCAGTGTGGTTGTGCTGGAAAGGCATATTGGGAGTAGAAGGGGGTTCAGGCTGATCAGCTTGGCCTTCTCGCTCTTTTGACTGCTTGATAAGATCAAACAGAGGCGACCCCTGGAAAAATGACAGGAATCCTGCATCACACTAAGAACAGACAACAACTCTGAATGAATTTCATTCCTTCTCTAAAACCAACCAGCAAAATGTGAACCTCAACAGAAGATTAAAGCTTTGAAGTACTTCAGAACACTCATACTTTTGCAAATTTTAGCCATTTAACTTTGAGTTATTAAATACATCAAATGCTTTTTTTCCAGTTTCAACAGCAGTCCATTAGATATAGGTTAACTGCAGACTTGAGACAGTTGTATTAGTTGTATTCTAGAGTCCCTTACTACTTCTTATTAAAGCCATTTCTGAAAAGAAGAGTAATCAATACAAGAGAACACACAAAAGGTCACATTTCAAAAACCACAGAACAATACAAACAAAAAAATCCTCCCAACTACCCCAAAAAAATCCAAAACCAAACCATCCAACACCCAAAAAACAGCTAAAGGAAACCTCAGCCCATTGGTGACTGAAAATTACTGCTGTACCTACTGTCAATCCATTTTTGCTACAACACCTACCCAATATTTTATATTTGATAATATAAACCACAGTCACTTAACTGCACTGGGTACTACTTAGTCTCTGCAGGATCAGGTTCCAGAGCCACCCCTGAAAAGAGTTAAGAGTGACTCTGGATACATTAAGTCTGTGCCCTCGTGGCCCAAAGCAAACCCTAATTTTGATTTGAGTCTAACTATCAGTACTTTAACCAAGTCCTCTGGAATACATCAGAAACTAAGAGCTTGAGGTAGGAGGTGAGAGAGCAGGAGCAGAGAGAACGTAAGTGGGATGGAGGAGGTTCTGGCTGAAACCACATCACCCTTCTGCTGACGTTAGCAATAAACAGCAGTCCTGCAGAAACAAAATCTCAGCCTGCCTGCGTGTCACACACAACAGAATTATGCTGAGACAGCAAGACTACATGAGAAAGTATTTTGACACCATATTTATTAATATATTTGAAAGCACAGGGTTGATGGCTTCTGTTTGTTTTATTTTCTTTGAACAGGAGACTCATCCTTGAGTACAATGCTGCCTCTCACCAGTGCACCATCAGAACTCCTGAAGCAACAGAGAACATTTGAGCAGCAAATATGTGCCTTCTTGAGTGTGAGAGGCGGGGGAAGCAGTGTCCATAAAACTCAGGATTAAGTGGGCAAAACCAGACATCCAGCAATTTCTTCAAATGATCTTCCCAAAAGACAGCAGTAACATCTGTCAGCTCATTGCTCTGTACACAAAGCACTGTCTCATGGTTCCTGGTCTGTCTGATCTTCCAAATGCACATTTTAGATATTAAAATGCACTGGCACAGATGACAAATGTATAGCTATGAACAGGAGCACAGCATGCATGTAAAGCATGCAGCATCACCTGGCTAAGGCAATAAGAAAGAGCCTACTAAAATTAGACTACATTTACTAGAATTAAAACTAGCATTAAGACATTTCTTATTTAGACTTATTCCTAAAAGAATAACACCCTTTTTTAAGTGCATCAAATAGAAATTCAGAGTAACAAGATGAGAGTGACAAAGATTTACAATTTTTCACACTGCAATTTTTAAATTATGATTTTGGCAATACTGGAGCTGTTTCATCCATAGCAGAAAAAAACATCAGTTAGTGATTCATAACCACATAGTTGTTTCGCCATCATTTCTCAAGCAGTTCAGCTCTTGGGCTGGTTTGCATCATTTTTCCCTTCATTTAGGAGTGCATGCACTTCTCACTTGTGTCTCTCAGTGCTGCCCTTGCAGGTACATGACCTCCATTTCTCATTCTTCTGGCCACTCGGCCTCTTCCTTTTTTCTTATTCCCACCAGCACTTCACTTTGCTCTGAGGAATACAAATTTCTTTCCAGAGCAATCATTGCTGAGATATCTTGACTAAGAGTGAACCAGGCTTCATTCGCATCACATTTTATTGATTAATGACTGGAAAAGTATTGTTTCTAATGAAGGAGGAAAAGGGGTTGATGAAAGGGAATGAGAGGTCTAGTAAGAGAGGCAAAAGTTACTATTCTTGAGTTAGCACTTGAGAACAGCAGTTCCAGGTCCTCTCTCACCCCTGCTCCAATTTTGCTCACCTTATTCTGAGTGTGATTTCTCTAGATAAGGTATGGGGACACAGCAGTTTGCTACACACAGAAGGGATCTGCCTATTTCTGCATCATTTCCACTCCTCTTCTACCTGCCAGCCTCAACAATCAGTCAACCTCCACATACGTCAACTAAACGATCAGATAGCTAACAGAGAAAGCAAACCCAGATTTAAGTCTGCTCGGCAGAGAATCACAGAGCCAGAACAAGCAGTAAGAACAGACAGGGCAGCCACACCACAAAGGCTGGGAGCAGAGCAGAACACAAAGTACAAGATGCTGTGCATTTATTGACAACAACCTATTCCATAATCCAATTAGCATGTGGAATTTTATCTGACAGGAATGTAGCGAACTGACTGCTGCTTTCCATCAGTTAGCTGGGCTACCTTCAGCAAGAGGATATTTTTGTGTAGAAACATCTACCCATTGAGCCTGAACAGCAAGATGCAGTGAGTCCCATACGTCTCTTTTGGTTCCCACAAATACTAATAAGCTGTGGTTAAAAAGCTGGCAAGACAAAGAGGGTGCTGCAACCCAGCTGGCCCCAGCAGTGCAGAGCTGCCAGCACCAACAATGGCAGGGTGTGAGAAAACCCCATTCAATGTATGTCCCTGGGCAAACCACAGCCTTGTCACCTATGCTGGCTGCACAAACTTGTCAGCCCTGCGGCTGCATGAGCAAAAAGAGGTTATTTAGCTTTCAGACCTGGTGACATTTAAAGAAGGTGTTTTGTTGATCACCATTTCCACCTTCCTCGCAGACTTCAGGTGCAGCCCCCTCTGCTCTTTCCCCAGGGACCCCTACCACTCTCACAGGTACCCTTCCAAGTACATGGCCACGTAGTTGGAGAAGTAGGTGCTACACTGACAAGACTGATGCCTCACAAAAAACCTGTGTGTGCCACAATGCAGAAACAGAGATGGGTTTTCTCAAGTGCAACTACTCTCACACTGTAAACCTGATGGATTTAATTACAGCCGTGTCTCCTTTCTTTATACTGGAACACGAAAAACGCTTCTATTCAGTGAATTCAAAGTGCATTCTGCAGCTTGAAGGGCGTTTCCAAGCTTATCAGGGCAAATTTCAGCTTCAGTCCACAATTTGGTATTCAACACTCAAGTGAGAGAAATACAACATCATTTACCAGGCAATTACCAGTCCTCTAAGTAATAATCACAGAAGAACTTTAACCCCCCGGTCCAGCTTAATCGAACAGGAACGTTTATCAGGAGCTTGTTTCTAAAGCGATGTTATTCATGCTATCTTTTACAAATTTCATATTGCTTTTTAAAGCTTTTAAGCAGCATTTCAGGTGAACAGGTCACCTCCAATGCATTACTTTAACATGAAAGGAGATTTGCAATTTTTACATTAATTTAATGCTCAGTAAGTGATTAATGTTACTAGATGCAGCCACAGAACGAATTTCAGTAATTAAGCAAAACGTTAATTTTCATTCGAGACTTCCCTGTGATGGCTACAGAAACCCCATTTTATTAGTGCAAAAAGTAAGAAAGAAAGAAATGACGACTTAAAATTTCTCAGGGTCAAAAGGCCGCTGGAATTAGAATGAAGAGTAAGGCAGAAATTTGACTCAGTTCCCTCTCAAAATACCCAGGGCTAACTCCAAGGCTAAACTCTGTGAATTAAGTGGGGCTTTGCAGGATGCTTCCCTGCAGCAACACTTCCATCACAAGCATCTGCAGTGATTTTTCCCCATCTGAAAGCTCCTCTTATAGAAAAAACAGGCAGAATTTCTTATTTGTTACTCTTTATTTGGCTACAGTTAAACTACAGGACACACAGGTGCTTCCCAGTCTTTGTGTATTGGCTTTATCCCAACTACATGTTTAATTGGATTTTAGTTTCCATGAAAAGACTTTAAAAAACCCTAGATCCTTATATATGAGGAAGAACCACCCTGGGATTTGGGTGTATCCACTGATTAAAGAGGAAAAGCCCTGAGCAGCTTTACTCTAAACAGTGCTATTAGTAGTGCACTATTAAAAAAAAAAAAATCTCCTTTTGTCTTTGTTTTCTATATGCTTTATGTTTTTGTTCTTGGTAATAATTTCCTAATATATTTTCAGGTTTTAGTTATCTGTTCACATTAAATTTTAATGCAGTGTTTAGCACTTATCTATGTATATATCTCAATGCCTAGGTCCCTCGGGTGCTGGGGGTTTTTTTGCCTCAGGCTTTCTTTTTTTCTTTTGCTTGTTTTCACATTATTAAACCAGTCAATACAACACAATGTTAAGACATGTTCTTCTTCATAATGTCATAAAAGATGGCAGTGATTTTGTAAGGCAAAACAGAGCCAGTTTAGAACTGACAACTTTTGAATGGAAGTGCAAGGACTGGATCAGCACAAGCTATTTCTAACCCTTTTTCCCAAGGGAAAACTGCATGCCCAGAAAGTTGGCTTTTGTTTGCAACCTTGTTTTCAGAAGTTTCATGTGACAATTAGTTACCAGAATTCTGAAATAATTCAGACCTGCTAAAACAAAGTAGATGTCACAGTCTAAACTGAAATAATATTGATCATGGAAAACAACAAAATTAGGGATTGTGTCCTAATTTCACACAAGAGTTGTGTTATATAAATTATGTTCATACTGGGGCTTGTTTTCACAAAATTTATAAAGAAAAACATTAAAAACTGCAGTGTTAATAAAATTAATAATTTAAGAATATTGGCAGATCAGCTTTTAACTCCATACAGTGTGTGTATGTTTAATACAAGCCCTATTCCTATCCCACTCATCTTGAGCATTTAAGAGTCATCCAGCTTTGTGAGGATCTCCTTTTATCTAGTGATAAAGGAGTTCAAATCTCCCCAGAGAAGGAAAGCCAGGCTGCCACAGTCTGAATACACATCTTACACTTCACTGCT